GTAGACGTATTTATATGTTAAAATAGTTTTTCTCTTATTTTTTAAAAAACGTTGCATCCCAATGAAATAGGTGTCATCTTACACCCCTACCTCCCCATAACGGCCATTTCTCTACAAGTGCGTTTTTCCTCTGTCCCCAAGGTGATCGTTTTGGGGGGAGGGGGTTCGACTGCATTGTTTATTAAATGAGTCAACCAGGAGAGGTTTCAGTCATTGAAGACCTCTAGTTAATTATTAGCAGCCACTTAACTGACAACTGATATATAGACAAAATTTTAACTGACAACTGGCATTTGCACTCCCCCTCCCATCCAGACCCTCACTGTAAGCTTTCGTATTTGCGCCGAGCGATCGTCTTACAATTTTCCTCAGTTTCCACTCGTATGTGGTGGACCAGCCATTCCAACAAACACAAAGAGTTTGTTTATGTTTGAGTATGTTTGTCCACCGAATTTCTGGATATCGAATCCGACAAAAGAAGTTTAGAAGCCGTAATTTGAAGACCTGCTAAGTTTCCCTCCAACCCCTCCCAATTTTTCTGGAAGTATGTATATTCAGCCCCCACCCTGACCCACCTCGAGTGGTATAATACCTGCAAACTAACTAGTTCAAAAGTTTATTGAAATACAGTAGTGCCAAGAAAGTCAATTATCAGTTAGCAGACATTTGTCTTAGCCTTTCTTCAATGCTTGGTTCAGTTAGTTTTGAATGGGATGAGCGTAAAAAGCATCCGTGCTAATTTCCTTTTGCCTTTTAGAAGGAAAAACTGCACAAAGAGTATCCTAAAAAGAAACGTGGCTTGAAAATCGTATTATCCGACGACTAAATCCGACGATGACCGAAAGACCGACAACAGCGTTCATGACGTGCGAAAGGGATGATGGGAGAATCTAACGTAATATCCAAAACAACAACAACCTCAAGAGGAGAAAATGGCGGACACGCGAGGAGGACGTTCTGCCGACATTCATACGTCGAAAACCCCGATTTTAACTTATAGAATACCACGGAATTTATAGCAGCAATGCCCTGGTTCTTCCCTTGGTCGGACTTCATCAAGAAAAGGGCCTGCAGATATCTATTACAGCATTATCTTGGCCATTTTCTGCACGAAAAGCTGACTTTGGACCAGTTGACTGTCGATCTGTACAATGGAACGGGACGAGTGGACAAAGTGCCTCTTGATGTTTGGGTGAGTAGCGACAAAGCCTAGAGAAATAGGATTGCAAAGAGTTGGCCTTGAGCGCTTTTTTCTTTTTTTTGGCGCCATGGGAATGTATCAACACTTTCTTTGCGCTTAAATGACCGGTTCCCTTAATTATTTGGGGTTTCTTTTAATTTCTTTTGAGCATTTAAATTTTGTATTGTCTTCTTTTCCCCTCGTCAGTTGTGACACCGTGAACGTTTATTAGGCAGAGAAGTGTTTGATTACGCTTGGGGATCGCATTTTATTTGTATATGGTTAAGCAACCAATAATTCAGAGTATATTTCTGTTTCTGTGTGTTTATGGCGAATTCCTCCCTGTTAACAGTGGTGCATATTGTACATGGATTTTGTGGCTAACCATCGGTCAGTCTTGTTTAGAAAATATAGATATATTTTAAGTATAAATTTTATTCCAACTGTGTAGGTCTACATGGAATCGTGTGAGAGATTTTAATAATATACCGTGTGTAACTCATTGCACATATATTCTGAATATTTTTCATATTTTTCATATTTTTCATATTTTTCATATAAATTGAGGTTTCCAAATTATACAGTTAGATGTAAGCTTATACATTTGTATAAGTTTATGCATATGGTGATGTGATCGAGTTTTAAGTTTTAGATGGCATGTGATTTTGCATTATTTTGCACCAGCAACATTGATTTTTTTATGGCTCAAAACATTATGCTGGGTGGAACTCCTGTAATTTACTATTATACAGTCGAACCCCTATTAAGCGGCCACCTATTAAACAGCCACTCCTATTAGGGAGCCAGTAAACAAAGTCCCGATGAGGTCTTTTCTATTGTTTTTACATGTACCTCTATTAAATGGCCAACCCCTTTAAGTGGCCACTATTCATTTCCCCGATGGTGGCTGTTTAATAGGGGTTGAACAGTGTAATGCACTTTAATTTGCATGTAATACAGAACCAGTTTGCAATGATGAATCCTCACTCACTGAAATAAATGATAAGAAAAAGAGTGGAAGTCTTGCGTACAATGCTGACAGTTTGGAAATTAATGCAGACTGGAGGAAGAATAATACAAAAAGCTTATTTCTCTGATACAGGTAGTCCTTAGCTTTCAGACAACACTGTATAGGTCCTGTGGTGTGTTTCTCTCTTCTAGTCATGCTCCAGGGATTGTGAGAGTGAGCGTGAGCTTTAGCTTTTGTGATTCGTTGCTGAAAACTGTAGATCTCTTACGGCAGATGTTGTACATGTGGGCACCAGCTTCTATTGTAAATGACCTAGCCTGCATAGCAAGCGTTTCCGTGGGGTTGGAAGCAAAGAAAGACGAAGGAACGGGATTTTCGGTGTTTTGTCTGCGTGGAAAATGGGGCGAGAGCCAAAAAAAAGAAAGAGGGGGTTGAGAGGGTGGAAGGAAGGAAACGCTTGCAGACAAACCCCTGGATTTTAAAAAACCTCCATTCGCCAGTGAACAGAGCTCGTGATTGGCTAGGCTAGTCCAATATTATTGACATGTGTCACTACTACACTACATGTGTAAAAACAGATGAGAAAGCCAAATGAGAAAAGAGTTTTGCTGGCATTGAAGGCACTAGATTGAGGTTTGACATTTATTTTGTTAAAAGACAAGTTTTGAGTGGCTTTAACACAGTGCTAGGGATGGAATTCATTGAACGTGATGAAGCTTGTGATTGGTAACCGTTGCAAGTGGAAGCCTCTAATACTTGGTGAAGTTTCCCGTGGATTTAAGCTCAGAATCTTGTCTGATTAAGCGTGTGGACCATCATCAACGTTTTGAGCCTTTGCGGTAGTTTGGGTTTTTCGCTCATGTTTTCAAAAGTGATAAAATTAATACAATGAAACTTAAACTTGGCATATTTTGTAAATGTTTCACTTTATAATGAAGCCTTGAAATAGTGCATGTATTTATTCATGCGTCTCTGCTCGATAAGCTCGCCTGTTTTATATCTCACTTTCAATATTTACACAAACATCTTACAGCTGCTGAGTTTAAAGACTGTGTAAGATCTTGCAAAGTTTGTTTCTTTTGTTGAAAGAAATCTTTGCAGTTATTTGCTCTCGAAAATCCTCCATGTGCGAGCCAAGCACTGGGTTGCATGTCATTGTGTTTAAAGAACTAATTAAATTACACTTATGACCTTCGTTTGTGCCATTTCTATTTTCTTTTCAATTTATCCCAGGAACTGAACAGCGATTGCTGGGTTTTTCGCTTCATTTTCAGAGGAAAACTGAGCTTTAACTTAACCCCGGCTGTCAAATATTTCAGTGCTGCTGTCACGGCTCAATGCCCATGTCACGTTTTTGGTGGCAATTCTCAAGGCCCGAATGATTTCAGATTTCTTTTATCTTACAGCTACTGTACAAGAGTTGTATTTTTTTAATCGCTACGTATTTGCTGAGAAAATTAGACATATTGTTTTCAGTTTATGCTTAATTTTATAGACGGATAGGCTCACATTGCTACAAATAATTTTTTTTTCATGATTTATTTACTATGAGTAGCTGGCACGCCAAGGACGACTAGACGGCAAATTTCGCCGGTCGCCGGAGCTTACGGAGAACTCTGTTATAAGTTCTGGAGTGGAATAAATCTGGAGAATGATCAAATCATATACTGTCCATTCTCACCGTGTAGATACCCCACTACTACAGCCAGAAGCTACTTCCCATGCTCAAACTACAAAGTAATATATGGAAATAACTTCTGCTAAATGTTATGAAATTTTGGACGCTTCCTGTGGTCCCAAACTAAAATTTTTTAGGAAGTCTCAGATGCCTTGAACATTAGCCTAGCTTATTTCTAATAAGTAACATTGACATTTACAAGTATAAATCAGTAATTGATTACAGATGATGTCAAAATGTGGTAGAACAAACAAGTGGTACACATTAGGCAATAGCCGATTGTGTTGTTGATGTTCTTACCACATTTTACCCACATAAATAAAAGTTTGTTCTAGATGTGGAAAGGAAAATAGAAATACAAAACAAACATGTATTTGGAAAAGGAAATATGAGGTTAACCCTGTAATGTTCCCTTAAATAATAACATATGTATATATTACATAAAAATATATTACATAATAATAGAAGCCACATATGGTGACAGTGATGGAAAAAGATACAATGTACCGTAAAATGAAAAAGTTTAAGAGTTAATACTATTTACATTTTAAGAAAAGACTTGATTTCATCTGTAATCATTAGTTATAACTGAACAGACATTAAAATGAGTTAGATTAGGATGAAAATGGATGTGCAGTGAATTTTTGAATCAGTATGAGTATGTTCAACTCAGAAATTAACTTAAGTTGATAGTATTAACTTTATATATACATGTAATTGGGGTGGTGAGGGACACAGCTGCAACCTGTTCATGAGTCTCCTGGCCTTCCTCCCAATCTGCCGATACATTGTACATGTACATCAGGGGTTTTATTAAAGCATTAATGAAATCCCTGCCGTACTGTAGTTTATGTGATCACAATAATTTATAAGTTTAAGTGCCATGAATGATTTCAGTCAGTGAATGAGATGTTGGACAATGCTGGCATTCCAGTGGAGATCATTGATGGATTTATTGGCAGCATCTCAGTGTCTGTTCCATGGACAGCTCTTCTCAGCGAAAGCTGTTGTTTGGATATCCAAGGTCTTGAAGTTACTATCACACCAAGACAGCGTGTAGACACAGGTACTATCACTATAGTTATTTACAGTTCTTTCAATACATTGTAAGCTTTGACGGCCGAGGAGTTGGCTCCTTTTTCCCCCTAAATAATTTAAAGCAATTTGATAATGATTCTTTCAAAACTACGTAAAGTAAAAATTCCTTTTATGGACTTAAATGCATTTTTTCCTTCAGTTTCTACTAATTTTCTTAAGATCAACCCCAACTGTGCATTCACGTGCCATTCTGGTCACAAATAATTGTGACTTGTCCTGGTTATTGTCTCACTTGACTCGTTTTGAGAGCGTTGTGACTGAACAACCAGCCACGTGGAAAGAGTACGTAACATAACAAGCTTCTTTGTTAGACAAGAAAAGATTGAAATTTCGGCCTTTAGAAATTCATGAATAATATAATAATATCAGAGTTTGATCACATCTCAGAGTGCAATCATAATATTTTATGTTATTTAGGAGGAAGCATGACTGATTCCATGATATGGAATGCGATGACAACAAGCATGCAACTGGCTCAAGAATGCTTGAAAGAAGGTCCGTCCAGCGGAGAGGAACAAGCAGAAGCTACCCCGCCCTTTGAAGGTCTAGAATCCTTTGCTCAAACCATAGAATCAGGTGAGTATTGGCAGAAGCAAACTCAATTAACACATTAAACTCATCATACATGTAACACTTGGCTGTAATTGAAAACAATTAATTTTAGATTGTGTGATTCCAGAGAATATCCATACCCACCCCAAGGCGGGTTAATGTTCAGCTATTCCAAGGGGGAGGGGGCCAAAATTTTTAAAGGAAAGTACATTTTGTATGAACTAAGTCTGAATTTCCAGTGGGATGGTGAGTTCAAACCAAAAGCCCCTCCATGGGAGGGGTAAGGGCATTTTCGTGGATCAAATTTGCTAATAATCCTGTTATTCTTATTTATTGAAAAGTTTTGTTTATGTTCACAGTTTTGGCAAGAGTAAAGCTCTCCTTTACAGACACAGTTATTAGATTTGAACATTTACCAAAAGACACTATAACAGGAATCGGACTACAGATACACATTAGAAGGTACATGTAGGTTAATATCAGTGCAACCCTTTAATTTGAGAGGCATCAGTGAACCAACATAACATACACAGTATACACTACATTCAAATCTAAACTTCAAATCTAAACAGGATTTTTTTACTCATAAAGTCTGTTGTTGTTTATAGAATTGATTATTCAGACTTATCTACTGAACTTGGTGAGAGGGATAGTCACTACAAAGCTAAGAGTGTTTATGAACCTGCTGCCTGTGCCTGCAAGAACCTAAAAATCTTTGGAGTTTCTGTTCACCTGGACGAATTCCCAGAGGAATCCAGAACTATGCCTCAAGCTCCAGATTTTCCTCAATCACCCCCACCTTCCCCAGGTAGCGATTCATGCTCTCCGCCACTTCACCACTCACACAGTCCTCTTGAGGGGCTTTCATTATCAGCTGAACAGTTGCCCACCCACCCCCTCTCAGGAAGTCTCTTACCACCAATCAAGATTGCAACATTCGCTGGCCATTCTGAAATCAAACTGAAGCTGAAACAAAATGTTGCTGTTCCTGGACCTAAGGTGGGATTTTGAATGTTTTTTTTTTTTTAAATAATTGTCATGTATTATTTTGTAATGACTCAGTATACGTGAACATATGTAATAAATTACTCTGGATTTTTGATCAAGATGAAGTCAAGATGGCCAGATATTGGCTTTAACCTTTTTTTTTTTTTTGAATTTTTTCTCCCTAACACAGAAAAAAATAGCAAGATCGATACTCAATCATCTTGACAGAACAAGCTTGGCCAATAAGGGTTTTATATGGCTTGAATACCATTTTTTTATGGGAAACAGTGGGGAATTTCAGGCAGACCAGAGAGTGCAATTTTGCCTGTTCAGGCATTCAATTCAATCACAATGTGGAGTTTAGTGTAATATGTTCCCACTCTCAGAGCTATGCATTAATAAAGTAGACTTGCATGTACAAACCTATGCTTTTCAGCAAAAAAAATTAGATTTTACATGTACGAGCTCGAGATTTCTACTACAAATAGAAGGTCTGGAATTACGTTTTAGTTTGAATCTTGCTTGGGTTTTGAAATGGGTTTAGAGTGTAATTTATGGAATGGTTGAAAGATGTATAGTACAATGTATGTATTCACGTATTCTTTTTTTTTCTTTTTTTTTCAGAGAATAAGGAATTAGCTTTATTTACACATAAATAGTCAATTTTTACTAGATTGCTTGACATGATTATTTGATGTCTTTTAGGTGGATGTTGAATGCTTTCTTGGAACACTAAATGTTTTCTTGTCACCTAAACAAGTTCATCTGCTTGTAGAACTCTGCAGTGGGTTTTCATCACCAGGTTTGCTTTTAAAAAGATGTTTAGGACACAAAATAATATTATAAAGCTATAACTAATTACTGCATCTAACAGATCTAGACAATGAAGACAAAGAGAGGTACATTATACATGTACAGGCACACAGATAGAAAGACAGACAGACAGATATACATGTAGTAGGCCTGAGAGACACTCAACATTTCATCTAATCTCTCATTGCTGTGCAAACTGTTAAGTACCAGTTCAATAACTACAAAATTTTATAACACGTGTAAGCAATTGTAGACCTGTCTTTCTCTTTTAGATGTTTCTGGCCAAACTACAGGGAAAGGCCACTCTGTTAACAAACCCATGCAACCAGAAGACTTTCAAAAGATAGAACAAGACTTACAGAACCAGCTTATGTCTGCCAGGCAGCAGGACCAGAGACATCAACAAGGCCAGCAACGGGTAGACTCATGGAACTTCAACTTTGACTCTACTTATGGAACAAACGATGCACTGTCCCACGACTCCTCAGGTGTCGATTATTACAGCATCTTAGGGGAGGAAGGAGAGGAAACCTTCTATTCCATGTCGCCTAGCCATGATGTGCTTCCTCCCCTTGAGGAACCAGTTTTACCAGCTGACATGTTTGTAGTAAAATCCCCAGGAAATCTGCTGCAGTCACCAGAATTTTCTGCCTTGGGGACTTTAGCGGGTGTGCATTCATCCCCCTACAACTTGATGAACACTATAGGCTGTGATAAGCGATTTATGAGCCAGAAAGTTCAGATACCAGGTTAGCTTTAAAGTAATGATTATGAGAACACTTATTATAAACTGAAGGTGGATTTGATTTCTGTAGACCTGTTTTAGATCCAGAACTGCCCATTGAACCTTTACATCTTGTGACCCTCCTATTTTTAATGGATTATTACCAACAAATTTGTAGTTATATGATCATTGATGGCAACTTGGGAAAACGTGGGGGAGGTGGGGGTGGTTTGGGATGGGTTTGGGGGTTGGGTTTGGGAGGATATTCTGCCTTAAGCCCTAGGCACGTTGCACATTTTACCTGTATGGACCTTGGCCCTGTGTCAAGGAAAACAAATGCAAAAACAAAATCAAAACAAAGCAAAAACAACAAACTTGCAACAACTTCGTTTGTTTGTTTGTTTGTTTTTTTTCACAAGGAACCTCTCTAGCAGAAGCTGCGAATACTGTGTTTGTCAGTGCAAAGCAATCCATGTCATCAGTTCCTGACATGAGAACTGGTAAGGAAAACTAACAAAGTTGAATATGATCAGATTCAGGTGACATGTCTAGCTAATAGAATGTTCCTATATTATTATAGTTTGTTGCAAATGACAAGCACTTTTGAATGACATGTTTAGTTGTCTTGATTGTAAAGGAGAACAACCATGCTGTTCATTTTGAAATCACAGATTGAATAACTTTTGCCTTTGTCTACTAATACATGCAGATGCTCCTCAAAGCACGGTTTCTAGACACAGTATCTCGTCTGCAAATCCTGGTCTTGCTGGAATAGCAGCCCTAGATGATCCATGCCCTGATGTGACAAAAATAAGTATCAAGCTCACCAGCTTGGCAATGACAGTGCTTCACATTGATCCAGTGTTGTCGCCATCATCAGAGATACAAGACTTCCACTCCAGTGACAGTCATCCGTTGTCTCTCATGGCAGACAAGTTCTTTTCTAGCCTTGGTACATACGGATTTGGAGGAAAAGACTTTGAAGGGATGGCAGAGAAGTTTGCTTTGGCATGTTGTGCAGATCATCTCAGGTAGGTGTCTTTGTGCAGTCCCTTAATTAGCCACCAGTAACACGATCGAGGCTGCTACTAGCAGTAGCTGACAAGGACTCAAGCTGTATTGCACATGGCACTGAATATGACCTAGGATATGGAAGGAACCTGGGGATGGTGCAGTGGTTTAAATATGCACATGGTTTGGTGTTATTTGTTTGAATCTTGGTCAGAGTCAGGCCCTTAAAAGTTTGGTCCTTACTGTACATTGTGTTGGCAAGGCACTAGGTTTTTTCAAGTTCCTTGAGAGGGGGTGGGGTGGGGGGTGTTACAATACCTATAACTGTCATGTATCTTTATCTATAGGCATGTGCTGTTTTGGTCTGAAAAGAGGAGTAAATTTTGACCACTTTGGGCTGAAATAGGGTATATTTTTTACTTTGGCTTCACAGGCACTGGGTATCTTGTTTACATTTATCAACTAATTTTTTTCTGCATCATTACTGGAAAATTTGTAGCTCCTCTCCAATTTTTATGTAAATGGAAATCATTCCTCGTTAGCTTTGATCATGCATGTGTGGTAATTCTAATGGTCTGAAATGGAGTATCAATTTTTTGGTTTGGGTCTGAGAAAGGGTATGGACAATCACAGATTTTGGTCTCTAGTAAGATAGGGGTTTCAAAGTTTGGGCCATACACCCCCCATGAAAAACTTTGGGGGGTGCCCCCCACCCCCAAGGATTCAAGTATATATTATGTGTATTTTCACAATTTATCTTTAAAGTTTGTGACATTTGAATCTGCAGATGTATGGCTGCCCCTATCTCATTTGAATTTGAGAGAACAGTCAGCAGTTCACACCAGACTGGAAACATTGAATTGTCAATAGGGAAACTGGAGCTGAATGAATATTTATTTGAACGATTATCAACTTCTTCACCCACTCCAACTCCATGCTCCGTAACTCAGGTACAGTACTTGTCAACTTCATGTATCCTTTCACATTTTTCCACTATTAGTGGTATGTTGGACATAACCGAACAATTTTGTTTTTACACTCTGACAGTAGGCTGAAATAACAATGGGTCGTTGTAATGATAATGCAGGAACGTGTACATATGCAGCTTTTAGTCTAAATGCACAACCCCACCAGCTCTGCTGATTATTCCATCGGGTTTAAATACATAGTAGAAACATAGTACAGTAGATGATCAAAATAACAGGAGAAAGGCAGTTTGACCTGAAAAATGAATATTTCTCAAGATTTACTGGGCAACACATTAGAAATACATTATAAGTTTGGGACACTCTTTTGTAAAGTTTTCAGGTAGATTGTTTGAATTTGCATACGTTTTAATATTTTATTTTTTGCAGTGTTAATTTTGAATCAGATGTACAAAAGACATGAAAACATGATAAGAAAGGAGAGGATTTTCTGTAGGACAGGATGGAGAGGCCATTGAACTTATAAAACATAGAAAAATGAAGGCTTAGTTAAGCCTTAGAGAACTCCAACCTCAGATGTTTCCGTAGATTAAAGCCGCACCCCCAAATTTTTAGTTGAATTTTGAGGGAAAAAAGGTGCAGCTGATGGTGTACATGAACTTATACAGTAATTGATTTCATCTTTCTCTCTTTCTTTTTTTCAGTTACTGAAATTATTTTCACGTGATAGTCAAGCAGCACCTTATTTTGGATTTAATCCAACCTCTTCCCTTCCTTGCCTCAGACTCAAGCACAGGAACACTCAAAGAACAACTTCTCCTGTAATCATCTTCCTCTTTTGCTCTTTTTATTGGTTTTATGCAACTGAAGTAAATGCATTTCACTCCCGTATTTTTAAAACCTTGTAGCAAGACCTATTTTATGTTAGCCTCATGGTTAAAATGTGCTCCTTTGGATTGGTCCTTGTTAAAGCACCGACCGAGGACATTGTGTTGTGTTCTCGGGCAAGACACTACCTTCACAGTACCGCTCTCCGCCCAGGTGTGTAAATGGGTACCAAGAAATTTATTGCTGGGGCGAACCCTGTGATGGACTAGCATTCCATCCATGGGGGAGTAGAAATACTCCTAGTCGCTTCAATTGCTACAGAAACCGGGATAAGCACTGGCCTTATGGGCCACTTAGTTTGCATACAGACTTTGCCACCCTTTTACCCTATTATACACATGTAGACAGAAATCCAAATAAATGAGTTAACTTCTACCACTCCCCTTGACCTTTCAGAAGGTATTGGAAGGCATACCTGTAGTAATAGTAATTTTATTTTATTTTATTTTTTTAGATTAGAATTCTAACGTTTTTCCCCTTTTCCAGGGGGTTGTTCAAGGTCGCAATGTAGTGTTACCCAAGTCAGAGTTGTCCGTGGAGCTTGGTGGCTTGCTTTGTGAAATAGATGTGTCAATAGTGGACAGGTTGACTGCACTGTTGGATCCACAGCCTGTGTTTATGAACCATCCGTCAAACATGCAGTCCCGCATGTTTAAATCGTGCACTCCATCATTAGTGGTATGTTGTTAGAACTCTTATGTTTTTGATACTTTTGCAATAAATTAATCATGTTGTTTACTATGTGTGACAAAACTGAGTAGTTGAGACTCTTTTAGAACATTTGTAGATCTTATACTAAGTTCGTACGGGTCATTGAAAACGTTGAAAGTCATAGAAATCAAGAATTTCGTTTTCTAGGCCTGGAAAGGTCTGGAAAGTCATGAAATTTATTTGTTGGTCAAGGAAAGTCATGGAAAATAACAGTTTAAAAGTCTGGTACGTCCATCGCTGCAGGTGTCAAAACAAGTACAAAATAAAACAGAGGCGAGTTAACGGGCAATGAATAGCCTCTCACGCAGACGCTCTTGGGGCAATTTGTACTGCAACCATTTTAGCGAGAGGCTCCAAAATAGAAATTTACTGCGAAGTATCTCAGCACTTTTGTAACTCATTGTAGCTCTTCAGAGAGCACTGCAGTTAACCTTTCCTTAGATTGGTAAACTTGTTACTGTATGTCCCGGATTTATAACGGATTCAGCTGATTTCTCAGGTCTCGTCCACACTATGCCGGAGAAATTCAAAAATTACATTTTCACTCTGAGAACGCATTAAGTGTTTTCTGTCCACACTTAACACCGGAGAAATGTTTTCCGTCTAGTGTAAAACGCAAAGCCGGCGTTTTCAAATTCCTCCGGTTTGAGAAGCGTTTTCAAAAAGCTCTGTTTTTGTGACGAATTAATGTGGAAGGTAGGCCTAACTGTAGAAAGAAAGCTGCGTTTTCATTTTTTTTTTTCTGGCGTGCTGGGGTCAGAACCAAAGGGTAGAGGAACTGGTGAAGCATTTGTGGCTCAGTTTTCGAATGATAATATTAGACCATCCTTGTAGACCCAGCTTTGTTTAAATAATGCGATGGGAAATACAATTTTTTCATTGTCAAGATTTTGAAATTCTCATTACAAATTGACGGAACCATGATCAAAAGCTACCGTCTTGCAGTACATACAGTTTTTGCATAGAATGAAGTTAGTTTCGTTATTTTAACTCGTGAATTGTGATAGTCACGATTTGTGTTGGTGGTCAGGTCATTGTTATCACCAACATGGTACCATGAGGATGCTTCAAGTTGCTTAATTCACAACCTTTCTGGTAAAAAATTGCAGGCCTCACTCTGAACACTGAAGTTTCTTCCTCTGACTGCTCTGCAAACTTCTAACAATGTGTTGTCTTTTGACAGAATCAACAGGCTGTGTTTACACAAGCCATGGAAGACACTCCCACAGTGGAACAGCCTTTTAACATTCACCTGTCTTGCCCTTCTCTTACTCTGGTCTTAAGGTGAACAATCAAGTCCTATATAGATAAACTGTTACGGTTGACAATCCGCTCAGTTTGACCGACCGTACGAAGACTGATTTCGCTTTGTACACGGTTCGAAAATTGCATCTAATTAATTTAGAAGACTTGGATATTTTGACGCCTTACCTGAACTAAGGGGACAAATCGCAGCTTTAGGTGGTTTCAGGTACACGTAGGTTCCGTAAATTTGCTTCTCATTTAGGGGATTTTTAATTTTTTTTCACGTACAACGTGAAAATATTTAAAATTTAAATATTTTCACGTTTACGCAAATGAGGGAGAGAAACAGTTGACCTAACCCGTATGGTTTGTCTAGGTCGTTTAGACAACCTGTAGCTATCAAATTACTAAGTACTGGGTAATTCCAACTCTTTCAATCGTATAATTCTTTTTTATTGCAAATTTATGGTCCTTCTGAAAAGGTTAGGCAAGCCAGAAAACAGACATAACGAGGAAGTGGTATGACAATGTTTTGCTAGTAGAGTTAGAGAGACGACTCTATCGAAAGTTGTTCTTGAAGTACCGTCTTCTAATGAGGTCCATCTTTCAAAAGTGAAAATTTGCTCAAGCCTGGAACTCCCCAAAATATTCTTCTCTGAATTTTCTTGTAATTTTTAGAATGATTGCATTTTGCGAAAATACCTCTTTGACTTCGAATTTTTTTGTGAAATAAGTACAGACCTCTGGAGTTACATCATGATGCCAGCACAAATCTATCAGAAAAAGTTATGTTCTTAAGAGGTGGAATTGACTTAGGTTTTCACTGGCATTATAGATTTCCCACTCCTGACTTACGGCCCGCTGTGGATCGGCGTCCCTGGTGGAAACAGTCGTTGAGAAAGGAGTGCGTAATATTTGACTTTTCAGCTGTAGAATTCAACACATCCCTTACTGGATCAGACCTTCCGTGCCGTTACGATTTAGGCTTCAAAGAATTGCATGGTATGGAAAACTTAGAGTTTACAATGTAGTTAAGATACTGGTCTTGTCTTTTATTTATGATAATGAACAAGCAAGTGCTTTATTTCTTGTATCTTGGATACTGCACATTTCAAGCAGGCTTAGTTCCTTGAAATTGCTGAGAAGTTTTGGAAATCGCAGTCATTTCACGGTATGCCTTTCGTATTACGTTAAAATTAGCAAACTAGTGAATGGACGAAAACTTTTTTTTTTTTTTCCAAGTAGTTGTATATTTAAAATATAAACTTCCACTGTGCCCCAGCTCAGGTAGTGCTGCGTCAAGAGAAATGACCAGTTTTATGAGCCTTGGGCCAGTTATGGTTGCTCCCTGAAGTTTTAAAAATGCAATTTTAATTCAAGACTGAATGCTATTATTTTAACATTTTAACAGAGATGATTGTAAAACATTTCATCATTGTTTATAACGGTTGATAGGTTCGAGAGAACTGGTTTTGTAATACGACTGTAAAGCTAGCTTTCAAAATATAACACTATCGTGCGCAACACGATAAATAATTTCCCTTTGGAGCCATCTTGAGTCTGTTCGTATCAACAGGGCATTAAAGGGTTGTAAGGCCTGGGTCGATCGCCGTACGTACGTCACAGGAGCCTAACCTAATGACAGTTTGGGTCGACTCAAATAACAGAAGAACGCCTGTTTGAGTCAAACGTCGAACTTAATTCAATCGAACCGAACTGCTACACCAAATAAATAACAAAAGCGGTCTTGTTGGTCAATGGTTTTTCAAGGTGAAGTCAAAATGTAGCCTTTAGACCTTTGATTATGCGTTTTGGTTCGACTCATGTGAAGATCGGTGTTTGACCCAAAATCGGTATTCACATGTTATTTACGGCTGGCCAGGCGCGAAGAACGCCTCAGCCGCTCCAAATAAAATCAGTCGAACTTAACTGGGTCAAACGCCAAACTTCACATGAGCCACATTGGGTTCGGCTCATGTGAAGTACGGCGTTTGACCCGGGCCTTAGTAACACTTTGTTACCTTTTGCTAACACTAAAACAAACCGTCAAAAGTGATGTGTTAGCGGTAAGGAGAGGTTTCAGTCTGAATGGTTTTTACAGGTTATTTCCAAGAAGATACCAGCGGTGATAAAATGCCTGTTATTCATGTCACGCATAGTCAAACTGAGAACGATACAGGAAATGGTGGCTTCGACTGGCCAAGGTAATGGTGTTAGAACTTGTCATGCAATACAAATGTATATGGATGCTTTGAGTGTTTCACGTCTTTAAATCTCAGTCACGGTATTTTGAGTAATTTCTGCAAAGTGCAAAGTTACCTTTAAATTGAAGGAAACCTGAAAATAATGGTTTGGTGAGATAGAAAAACACCAAAGAGATGATGATAAACCATAAAGGACCAGGATGATTAAAGATGGTGAAGATTAACATGGATTACAAACAGCGAACTTGAAATATTTAGGCTAAACGCACAAACCGTGACGAGCTCCTTTAAAGGTTGTTTCTTACTGGCATTCTGAATTCACCCATTTGAGACAAGAGCCAGTTATCGTGTCACTTTAAATGGCCTGTCTGATTATTTTCTAGCACGGGACACTGAGTTGCTGAGCTTATGCTTAAACTGATATAAAGACCTGATAATGACCTGAAATTGAATATAAAGACCTGATGATTGTCTATATTCAGTAGTTGAAGGTGACTTTTGCTTTATGCAGTGGTGGCATCAAACATCAGCATCAGCATCTCTGCAGCATAGCGCTTTTCATTCTTCGCTAATATTGTGAAATGAATGAATTTGATGAAAATGGGCCTGAAAAGTAAAACCAGTAGCTACAGTATTCATTTAAATCCTCCACTCTCTTCAAACCGCCTGCGAATCCTTTAAGACCTGATAAATGATTTTGATATGAGGGGTAGGAGATAAATCTTACGGTTCAACGTCCATCTAGCAGATCTGAGAAAACTGTTTTTTTTTTTTAGAATTTGTAACTACCGGCACTTCTCCTGAAGCGATAACATCGCAGCGAAAATATCACACCGCTCGCTGTTGTAAAGTTAACTGAAAACTATAACTGTTCTCTCGAAAGGTTTGTTTCAAGCCCCTCCTCATTTATCCGGTATAGGTCATAACAAGTGCTATTTGTTTAAAGGATTGTGATTACAGTGCAGCCATCCGCTCCTCTCTCGGCTTTAGAAGAAGTTCCCTCGTCAGATAACTCGCCCCTCAGTTCCCTGGATGCCTACCCTGTGATGAAGGCCGAACCGTCACCTTTCTCCTCTAGACCTGTCATGTTTGAGACAGAAGAGGTTAGTCAGTCTTGTTTTCAATGTACATGGGCAGAGCACATCGGCGAAGCTAGGCAATGATGGTATTTATTTAAACTTAATTTACAATGTGGGTTGCTGAGCTATGTTAATACAGTTAGATCAAAAACAACAACAACAGCAACAAGTGAAGTATCGAGCTGAATGGATAAGCTTTTTGATTGCAGCTTTTAATGCCTGGAAGTCAGGAGGAAATGACCAAATTTCAAGAAGACACAGTGGCATCCTCTAAAGTACATGTCGAATGCACCTTTCCAAGACTAGATGTCAACCTGCACACGAAGGATGTCTTTGAAAATATTTATAACAGGTGGGTAGACTATCGAGAAGAGATGAAAGTTTTACAAAGTACATGGAATTACAGCTCCTGGCGAAAAGAAAAAAAAAAAAAGAAATTTGTCTTTCGTGGATTTCAAAACACATTTACATGTATGGCTGGACCAGATCGTTGTCATGCGCCCTGATAGAGCTATTAGGCCGGCTCGGAGATGGTCGTAATAGTACCTGAACCGAGTAGAGAACAATTCGGGGTGTAATCTGGCTAGTAATTTTAACGTAGCGCGAGGCCGATTTGAAATTATGTCCACGATTACTCTCCAACTGTACAGTACAAGGCCCAATTACTAATTAATCGCAGCACGAACTAATTTCGAGATTAGTAAGTCTTTTCATAATAAAAAAGAAACTTGGACGCATGCTTTAATTTTATCATATTTTATTTATATCGTATCTTTTACGTTTAAGTAGCATTGTTTTGTATAGCTTTTACGTCTTTATAATATTTTCCACAGGACCGTTCTGAAAACCACTTTATGTGAGATCGTCCCCTGTATAAATATTATTATTATTTTATTATTAATTATTATTTTATTATTAATTATTATTATTATTGTTATTATTATTATTGTTATTATTATTATTGTTATTATTATTATATTATTATTTTTAAGCGATGGTCAGTAGTATTTCTGATTAGTTTTAGAAAGAGTAGCGACGACAACGTAATCGCGCGCCATTTGTCTGACAGACTGGCGCTCGGAGGACTGTATCAGATTGGAGAATTTTATCATGGATACGCCGGTTCAAGAGATGAAATTGCACTGTACAAACGGAAGCGGAGGACGTAGTGTAAACACCAATTTGATTACCTGTTGTTCACCCCCCTCCCTTCCATGCCATTGCTTTTCATGACTTGGCATAGGATCAGGAACTCAGTACTCTGTTAAGGTAATGCAGTTATACATTGTAATGCTTACACAGTGTTTTCGCGTTTCGTTTTTTTCAGGCTGGCCAGTGACCTGTTGCTATGGCAACCTATGGCTCCCTCCCCAGCAGATCGGCCCGACACAGCTGGGTTTAATATTGGCACAGGGCTGGACCTAGCCAGTCAGATGATGCAGGCACAAGGACCGGATCGCTTTGTCATGTGTAGATCAGGGCTACGCAGCTACGATGATGGTAAATAACTATTTTTGTTGAGAACACCCCGCAAGATCTAGAAAGCATGCAGTAAAAGCTAAATATGACTGAAAGAAACATACAACGATACAAGCACGAGCTGTTGACGTAATGATGGTGCGAGCAAGGAGAATTTACATTTTGATAATCAAAATAAACGAGCCATTCCCTTTGTGAGGAAACACTTGGCTGCCAGGCTACTCACTATCAACAACAGAAAAGATAGCCAATGGGAGAGCGACATTTGAAACTCGATAGAAACACGGAAAATGTTTTCTGTTTTTCTTATATCAACCACACTTCAACATCCCGTAGTGAACACTTCTAGTTTATCGTTTGTAATCTGTCTCAATCTTTCCCAGTGTTAACCATCGTTGTACCTTTTTGGTTTTGTTTTATATACCTCGGTAGTTTCTGCCTCAGTGAACTGTTATTTTGAGGTATATACTTATTTGACAGCAATTTTGTACTTCACAAAATCCATAATATCAACAGTCTACGTAAACGTTGGAATTTAACCAAGCTTTCTCTCGTGTTTTCCATTACGTTTTGATAACACGCGTTCCTCTTTGTCCTTTTCGCCAATATGTAACGTACTGTCAAGTGTTGTAATTCATTCCTCTTTTCTTTGTTTGTAGATGCATCCTCGTCTGATGAAGGCAGCAGTAATTTAACATCATTGGACAATAAGTACAAACGAACAACGTCCAACCCTAACGGCCAGACATCCTTTACACTTACGCTCAATGTTGGCAAGGCCAGACTAGCGGTTTTTCCTGTGAGTGAGGTGAGACAGATCTAGGAAGCTGTTCTTTGATGAACCACCAGTGATCCATAGAGAATTGGTCTCAATCGCAAGCGAACCCTTTTACCGTTTACTAGTTTTAAGCTCTCCCTTGTTATTCGGCAATTCACCATAAACCCAGTGCAAAAGCGCAAATATTTTACAAACCTTTCTACCTTACCGCGAATTTCTACTGAAATTCTCCACGACCTGTGTCCGTCTGGCCTCGCAGCTCAGTCGGTAGAGCATCGATCGGCGATCTAATCCGAAGGTCGCGGGTTCGAATCACATCGAGGTCAAATAATTTTTCTCTTCTTTGTTTGGTCACCCATCTCCTTGGAAGGCCTATCTTCATACTCGAAAGGAAATCTAACCCTCCAGACTAATCCAGAGCTAATCCTACACTTCTCAGTTGCTAGTGTCAGTGCTAATTTCAGCCCAACATTGCATTCGCAATTGCTGTACCCGGAATTCATACGAAACCTTGATGGATGTATTAGGTTCTTATGTGGTAGTTTTTCACATGAACAATGGCAACTCCTAGTGACGCTTCTGAAACACTATTAGGCGTTTTCAGGGTGTGAATAGCACTAGTTTTAAATTGATAACTCAAAATTATCAAAGCACCTTCGTATTTCATTTGTATTTCACAAATACTTTAAGATTATAACTTGAATTTTGTAGATTTTTCGAAGGGTTTTATGGTGACTGTTTTCTTTTCTTTCAGAGTTCCTCTCCAAGTGGAAGTTCCAGGGATTGTAGCTCGTGTTCTGAAGAAGTATTAGGAGAAATAGCAGCTGAGTTCAATGACATTACATTCTTTATAGCAGCTTGTTACAAAAGTCAAGTGGATCTGAGCTACCTGTGCCTTCAATCTCAAAAAGTCGCTTTCCAGCATGCGCCAGTGGTGCCACAGGGTGCCCACGTGTCCATGGAGTCCGCCTTCAGTGGAGCCGAGCTCCAGTCCACCCTCTACCACACTGAACCGGGTGTAAGACAAGTTGACGGGAAGACCGGTGAACCGATGTTTGCCTTTGCTATTAAAGTTTCAGGGGATACGTCGAAAAATAGTAAGGTACGAAGTGCAAATTGAACAGAGAATTACTACTTAGTACTTTGTACTTAGCACTAACGTGAAGTTGTACTGCAGTTTACATAAGTCGAGCGTTTCTCGGCCATTTTCTCTCGTGCTCTTCGCTCATGTAGTGAGCGCTTTTCCCTAGTCAGAATCAGGATAAAGAAAATGTCTTATCGCCTTTGTAGCTACATGACTTTGAGGAATGTTTGTTGCACCCTGATGGATGTGCTTATATGAGTCAATACGCGCGGTCAAATTACATAATGGTAGGCCATTCTCGGTATTTGACTGGAACTAGCTTGCAATGGAGGCTAAAGCGGGGGAATATCATAGAGTAATGTCATTTGCATTTGAGAAGGTTCCCGGATTAGTCTCAGTTGCAAGCTAGTAGTTCTGGACAGTCCAATACCGAGAATACGAAAACAGTTTGTTGAGGTGATGTGGTGCTACCTGATTTTTCTTTTAGGAAATTCTGTTTTCGCTGGGACTTCGCAGAAGCACTCTTCGCCACAGGATGCTTGCTTCTAGACAGATGTGGCTTACTCAGGTATCAATATAATGCTTCTTTAGTCAAGTGTTGTGTTTGCTGTGTGATTTTTCAGTGAAACTTGGAGGCCGTTTTTAACACCGTTTTAGACAAGTCTTTGTAGAATGACTAAATTTCTAGGCCTCTCTTAGCGGTTCTTGTTTGTCCGTTCACAAGGATGGAACTAAAATTTGCCTCGCCAGTATGGTACCTTGAAAGGTCTTGTTGTTCAACTGTGGTTGGCTCAATCGACTGAGGGAAACATTCAGAGAAGCGCATTTTTCCAAGGCAGTTGGTGCTCACTGGATCACTAAAAGTATACGTTTTGCCAAACCTCGCTTAGTTAAATGCGTGTGACTATTTATTTATTTTAAAATCGGTCATCACTAACAGCATTTATTTTTGCAGGTGGGAGATTTCTTTGACGTCAAGGATGACCCGGTTCTTGGTTTCAGTCCTCCAGCGGTCGTGACAGTATTCCACACACATGTGTGGGAAGGAACCATTGACTATAGGTTTGTTATTGGAATTTTTCCACACTCGATACTCTTCTAGCGTGTTTGTTTTTTCGTTACTCGAGGTGCTTTCCATTCGACAAAAAATTCCGAAACTTTCAAGGGCATATGGAACGAAAATGTTCTAGGAGAGTTTCCGAAAAATCTGAGAATTGCTGACTTTCAGAAATGGAACCATTCAATTCGGGGAGATAAGTCACATGGAACTGGAATTCACGTTTATAAATTTTCGAAAATTCGTGTGTATCTTGCGAGGTTGCCCTCGTTTCCGTAAATTCCGGAATCGAAAGTGCGACACCACATGGATCTATGGAGCTACGTGATCAGTGTTTTTTTTATTTCGAGGGGGGTAGGGGATGAAGGAGGGGGCGAGTCTGTAGACGTTTCTCGTTCGGTGAAGGAATTAAGGGCGTGGGGGCAAGTCTGTTTCCTTTTAACTTATCCTGAAGTGGTCACAAGTAGAATTTAATTTTTATATTACATTAATTATTTTATGATTCTGGTATTTGGTTTTGTGCATCTGTATTCTGTAGCTCATGAGCCAGTGCAGTCAATGTTAGTAACGTGTTACTCTCTGCCCACAGGCCAATCCACCTTCCTTTACGTGTTCTTGTTACCATGGGAACGTTCAGTGTGTCAAGTAACATCACGATTGAGTCTAATGTCTCTTTGCTGAGGTAGGTTCAATAAACACTGACTGTGCACTGTATTAGCGCCAAAACGTGTTACCTACAACACAGGGGCTTGAGCAGTGATGGTTTGATTTTGAAGAAAAGTACTCAGCAAATATCAGCAAACACTGAGGAAGTGAGAATGACTAACGATGAAGAGAATAGCGTCTTGCAGGCGTTCAGTTAATTGGGGTGCAGCTCGGCCGAAAAACGGTGAGAGTAAAGAAAGAGGGGCTTAATGCGAGGAGTGAAGGAACGTGTTCTTTGACTTTCTGGTATCGCATTCTTTCCCCTATTCTTTCTCGCCCTTTTTGCTCTGTGCCCCAATTTGCCTGCAAGAGGCTATGATGAGAATGAAAGTAGATTGCATTATGGAGAACTTGAGCCGGAATGGAAGGCAATATTTAGTTTTCCAGAGTGGCTCGGATTTCTTAGTGGGACTTCGCTTCAAGAATGCCAATTACTAGCACTTTCCTTTTACAATTAAAGCCACAACATCTTGTGCGGCTGGTCTTTTCCTATAATTATGACAATAACACTCGGAACGTGTCACCCGGCCACTCTGAGTGGCTGCCCGAATCATGTTGCCAAACACCGAGTTTCTTTCTTTCTTTCTTTCTTTCTTTCTTTTTTCTTTTTTGTTTTTGTTTTGTTTTTGCTTTTGTTTGTTTGTTTTTTTTTTTGCAAACCGATGGATGCTTTACAGCTGGTTTAGTTTTAGGTGAATTGCTTCAAACATTTTTAGTTATTTCACTGACGAAGTTTCTTCTAAACTGATTTGTTTGGTTGGTTCTTTGCCAGATTTATCATCGATGATGCGGCGTTGTATCTCTCGGACAAATGCAGTGGTTCTGCAAATATCAGAAGTAAGTTCTATTAGCTGGTTCAACTCAATTATTTTCATTCGTGATAACTGATTCAAGTGTTGATGTCTTTCCAGATTATGTATGTGTTTTAGATCTTGGGATGTTTGAGCTGTCCCTTTTCACGTGTGACGGCAGTGAACAGGTAAGAACACCAAAACAGAAATCCTTTGACGTTTTTCATGTAAATTAGTCCACTGAAGAAATAGTACACAGTGAGAATCTTCTTGTGTTCATGAGGGACGAGTGACGATGGCCCAACTTCTATATATTAAAACTAGAAGTAATCAAAGATTATTATGAGAAAGCGTCCGACGCCGTCACTTAAATATATATAAATGATTTCACTGGCTGACTTTTAACCTCTGTCTATTGCTAAAATCAACGTTTTTCATCGACAACCGGGGTTTTTATAGAGACAGATTTATCATAGTGTCAAAGTCCTCCATTTGTTGACACGTTGCGTGACAGCGCAAGTTTCCGTAGACTCACAAGTTTAATAGAACGAAAATATTTACGTTTATAGCCTTCAAATTTCGTGCTAAATATTCTCACATTAACTGGTCATGTTTGAACGTAAAAGCTAATTTGTAAAAGTAAATTTTACACTTCAATTGCATTTTGCACTTGCAATTCCATCAGATTTCGATAAATGCCACCGTCGAGGCGTTTAAATTCACCTAAATCCAACGCTGAGAGCACAATTGAATACTTACAGCTTCCAAATTACAGTATAAATGTCCACAAAAAACCGCACTTGAACGAAACAAAGACCCGCACTCGAAAGAAATGTACAGCACATGGTTTGGCGATGATGTCATTCGTTTCGCCCCTGCTGCGGGGCGGCCAAATCGGTGTCGCAACTTCGGACGAAGGTCCACTGTCCCATGAAACTCGACTCAAGTCTGCATTAGGATTGCGTTCTACGAACGCAAAAAAAGATTCTAACCTGTCATTGAGGCGTTCAGCCAATCTTTTTTGTGTGTGTGTCAAGTTTTTTTTAAAGGGAATATCAAGGCAGAGGAATCTTAGAAAAAAAACTCTACTTTTAGTCGGAGTCTTGTAAGAATTTGGATAGATCAAATCTAAGCTATTGACTTTTCTAGGACTAAACGAGATGTTATTATCAAAGAAAAGTAGGTTTTGGAAGACTTTTGAAGAATGCAAGGACCGAACTAGGTCTAAACGCGAATTTCAATCACGAACCTGCAGGTTACAAGACCAATTTTAAGTAACAAAGAAATTCTAGAGTTGCAAAATGGACCAACTGTTACACTTTTTGCCTCCGTCAATCATAATTCAAATGACTACTGGGTGTAGACCGGAGTGCAAGATCTCAGTTATGTTGGTACGTCTAGTTTGTACTTTAACATAGGAATTCAAATTAATCTCGTCTACCTATGCATATCAGCAATCTTTTTGGGTTCCTTGAACTTCTTTAGTTGGTTCAGAGTTGGCATGTTTTTGTAAATTGACGTTATAGCTATTTCGTAAGATAGCGGTGTACTTTCTTTACAGAAGTATTGAAGAAATTGTTTTATTGAGGTTTTGAAGTAACAGAGTGCTTGGCCTTGAAATCACATCATCCAAACTTTTCAATAGTGCCGTTTGTTATTTTGTTCAGGGTCATCCCCAGGTGGAACTGCGCATGTCTAACAACACTGTCAATGTGAGGACGTGTTCGGACTCGTGCTCCGCTCTGCTGCAGCTGATTCAGTACATTGCGGCAGACGGGGATCTGGTGCCTAGCTACGAACCGGAAGAACCAGCTGCCACAAAAGCACCCTCGGTGAGTAAAGTAACTCACAGTTCAACTGTTTAGTGCATATGAGATCGAGGAACTGGAGACAGTACAATTAACTTTTTAGCAGAGCTAACATTACTTTGGTATTTAAATGAAGGTAATTGACTTTCTAGAGAAAATGTTTACTACGTCTGGGAAGTACCATTGATATTTTCCGTTTCCTTTGAGTGTAAGATTGTGAGGTCCTACAGCCGAGACAACATCTAGGGAGCTTGGGTCGAGTCTTGGAAGTTAAAAGAGTATTTCTAACCAGTTTTCCTCAATACTTCCTCCAAAAAAAGCGATTTTGTTGAACTTTCTAGAGTAATTATGAAATACGAAAAGTGCAAACATGGCAGGCAGATCAGTACGGGCAGAAAATTCAACAGATTTGACGTGAATTTGCTGAAAGAGCCAAATACATTGTGCTTATCTTAAGCAAAGCAGCATCACGAAGAGTAGTGCTCAAGAAATTCGTTAATTTGGCAACACAGAATCTGTTCATAATGATAAGTAGAATGTTGACTTGGCTGAAATTGACTGAGAAATGAAGAAGTGGATACAAGTAGAATTACTTCAAAAGAAATATTCCTGAGCCCCCAATGGGAGTCATGATCAACCCACAGCGTTTCAGAGACCGGTTGGAAGCTGCGACTATTGAGCTTTGTGAGACTCGTAGGTTCTGATATAACATTTCTCACTTTATTTCTTTGGTTTGGCAGTTAACAGACCTTGTTACACTACTCGAGTCTGTCATAGTCTAGTTTTGGCTGGTCTCTCTCACGCAACGCTACGCTGTCGGCAGAGAGGGACCCACTCCCGTAACGTCGCGTGAATGAGAGAGGGCCAGTACTGGCTGGAGTCTGCCATAGCATCCAAACGGGGTCTGGAAGAGTTTGAGGGTTGAGTCCTGTTGAAGGCTTAGAAACGATATATTTTGAGTCGTTAGATTTGCGTGCCCCTCATTTATTTCAAACAATCTGTTCTACTTCACCCCTACTTCCTAAAGTTTACCTTAGTGACTTAGTGTTAATTTGTTATGAATGTGGGATATATCGATTCTCTTTCATTTTGTCCCTTGTGTACGGTTTAGACTCCTAGCCGCTGTCCAGCTGATCCACCGCTCAAGCAGGGGTCCGTAGATGAGGGTGAGCTGAGTAGTATCATGACAGAGGCCATGGTAGATACGCACTCTATGGAAGGGCCCTCTCACGATAAGGTACTATGTGCTGTTAGGCTGAGCGATTTCTTGTGCAATTTACAGTGCAACAAGCCTTTGCGAAGTAAATTGCAAGGTAAATTTACACACGGGAACAGGTGTCTTCATTATTATGAAAACTGAAGCCACTTTCTTTCTGTTTCTCATCTCCATAATTTTCGTTTCGAGACGAGTTGCATAGAAGAATAGCTACAAGCGTAATGTCCTCTTCAGTTTCGCGCTCTCCGTTACGACGTTTCTTCACGTCCATTGCAAAGATTAACGTTGTTTTAATAAATCACAGAACGTCAGAGGAGATTTGAACCCTCAACTGTCCAGATCACCGAGAAGAGATCTGTTCCTGTTCCCTGACGATGAGTTGGCTAGTCCAGTAGAGGAGCATTTCCCCCCTGAAGATACAGGCGTGGAGTTGGCAAATCCGGGGGAGTCTGACGAAGAGGACAGTGATGACGATTTTTGTATCCTGGAACATCCCGATAAAGAACCCGAGGGTTTGAGCCATGAAGTAATCATCAAATGCCTCACAGATGAACAAGTCAACATTGTCGAGAATCATTTTACCGTTCCAGTAAGTAGTTATAAAGTTGGTACAGTAATCTTAAACCTCTTATACTTCTTCCCTCTCTATTCTCTATTTTCCCATTCCCCGTAACTCACTCTTTTTGCCCCCTCCNCCCCCCCCCCGCCTCGAAAAAAATGCTCTTGGAGGTCTGCATATTCCCAAGAGCATTTCACAACAATAATTTATGCAAAATGTGGGGCGGACAGTGAATTATGGGGAATTGGAAAAATTGAGAATTAATCACTTTTTCCTTCCCACGACAGTTGGCCAGGACAATTACATTCATGAACTACAGAAATTTATAACGGGGAAACAATGTTTTCCGAGTAAACCTCATCCTACATTCTCTCCTTTTGCTTTTTATGGGGAGATGTGTTCTTCAACAAATAAAGAAACAGTCCCGTATACCTGTTTTTAGATCCGCTAGCTAGCTGCAGTATGTTTTGAAATACCGTTGAATCTCTTTACAACGGCCTTACTGAAGCCTTACTGTCGTGACCCTGCTCACAAGGTTAGCTGGCCATGTGTGAAGAATCGACTGTTAAGTCCACTAGTGTTTGGTCATACTTTCAACCATTTTCATTTTTTGCCATGTTTTTCTTAAGTGCAAGTGATGTGTTCGAGAAATACTGGAAGCATTAATGATCAACATGCATTATCGCGGCAATGATGAGCGACGTCAGCAGTGAATCAATGATGCGGTAACGTAAAAGTCGCCCAGCATTGCTGCCGGTATTTTGTCGACCTCATGTACCAATACCTTACATGATATCATGAAATGTCCTCAGTGTGAGTGAGAACTCATTGTTTATATGTTCTTTTCGCAGATTGGTCCAAGTGATCAACTTGGCGCCCCTAGTCATTTTCCGCCAGCGGTGTTCTGCTACACATTGAAGGAGATGTCTGTAGTCTGGCACTTGTTTGGTGGGAAGGATTTTGGTGGCTCATCGTCACGTGACCAAAAGAAAAAGTAAGTTAGAGAGAGATTGGTCTGTTAAGGATTTTCACGCGTAGAACTTCAACGTTTGTTCGTAAACAGTGTGGAGACGGAAAATAATGAAGTCTCCATGAGCGAAAATAACTATCACTTTTTTTCTGTTCTTGGCAGAATAAGCTTTGCACTGGATGAAAAAGGCAAGCCTGTTGAGAGTTCTTTTGTTAAAAGGCCCACTGTACTGTTCAGTAAAAAAACTGCAACATCAACTAACGCCGTGAAAAAACATAGCGGCGGACCTAACAGGAATAACCATGTACTGATGGAGTTTCACTTGAACAAGGTGAGTAGCATTTGATTTCCTGCGTCGCAGCCGTTGTTTGTCATGCAACTGTCCTCTCCGCTAACGACCGTTATGTATGGAGAATTGTTGCGTGACTTCCCAAAGAACGGCTGTCACTGCAGGTAGGAGGGATGCTTTTGGTCCCACGGGGGTAGATTGAGCGTTAAGTTTCTTCTGAAAAATTATCTAAAAGTCAATTTAGAAAGGATAGTTCTCGACAAGCAAACTGCCGGACGAAACATAACCTGATGATGTTCAGATTGCCTAGCGTGTTACTTTGGGAGGATACGTGACTGAGGGGATTTTATTGTAGCATCGCAGAGACCGTGCCGACGAATCATGGTCAAGCTAGAGAAAGTGGACTTCATACACGCGAAACGTCGTTTCAGAGGCTAGAGAATCAAAGGGAGTTTCAATTCAGTGTAAAACATAGTGTTTGATTTTTTCGTGCTTTCTTCAGATTCGTCTACAGTATGAGCAGTACCCAGAACACACGGAGCAGGCGTCGCGGCTGGTGGTGCTCGTACAGGATATAGAGATAAGGGACCGCTTAGCACATTCACAGATAAACAAGTTCTTGTACCAGTACACGTCCGAAGCCTGTCCAAAACAGTCCCATGCTAACATGGTAAGGGCCCTCTGTAGAGTTGTATGTATTTAGCGGGGAGAAGAGGTTGGGGGAAAAGAACGTAAATGCCATGAGATCTGGCTCAAAGTCTGTTTTTTTTTTTTTTTTTTTAATAACTTTAATTGTGATTCACCCTACTTACACCACTGATACGTCTACTTACACAATTCAGTTACTTTCAATTTAATTACTTACGCACTGCTTACACTACTTACTAAGCAATACAGTTACAGGTGCTACTTTTAATAATACAATTTGCATAACGTACTCTACAAAACAATACGATACGATTACTTATTTAACTTACGATGCAATTCTTACACTACTTACAAAAAAAGACGATTATTGATGCTACTTACAGTCATGTTATGGCAGTGAGCAACAATTTTAATGATACATTCATATTAAAATAAAAAAGCAGTATTATAAATAATAAGATGGGCATAGTTAATTATATCGGAATGAGCGCCCATTTCTTTTCAAAGAAGTTTTTCTTGTTGATATTTTTTCAGTTTCATATTTAATCTTAATTGAGGTCAAAGTCTTTCTCCAACGAAGGCTATCTCCCAACATTGTTTGAGTTTTTATAAAAAGATGATCTTGTTTTAATCACGAATTGACTCTTCCCGTAGAGCAAGTAAACGATAGAAATTCACGTCCGTACAGGCATTTTACCGTACATTTTCTGTCATCAATATTTACCTTTTTTTTAGTGAAACTGCCGAAGAAATTTTAGCTGGGGAGTACAACAAAATCTATTTTTCTTAGCGATTTCTCGCCATTGCCAAGACGTCCTTTCAGCATACCCCGTTCGGTCTTTCCGTGACTAGTTACTTAAAAGGACGTTTGGGTAAAGGGGCTTTGCACATAATTAAAATCTTTTATCAGGTCCTGCTCAAGATGTTGTACATTCGGCCTGATCCTGGTCTTACAGCACAGGAGTGTAATCTGAGAGTGTCCATACAGCCACTGAGGCTCAATGTTGATCAGGTAATGTCTGGCGATTCTCTTATCGCATTGATGTTCACCTTCTCTATCAGACGAATCAACGACAGAGGGTCCATCATCAGCCTTTTTAATCCCGCTTCCCGCCACTGTTTTTGGATCAATCCCGCCATCCCGCCCCAGTCAGAATGTTTATCCCGATCTCGCCTTGTTAGAGTAGCAGTTTTCCGCGTGACATCTGATACCTGTGATTTTCTGTTTCTCGTCCCGCATTCCGCCGTCAATTTTAAAACTATCCCGCATCCTGCCTGTCAAAATGAGTAAATCCCGGTCTCGCCGAAGTATTTTTAGCCCGCATCCCGCCATTAACATAGTTAAAATTTTTCCATGCCACATCTCGCTCTATTTTCATTCTCATCCCGTATCCCGACAAACCAATGTTGGACCCTCAACAAATCATTCTAGAGATAAGGAATTGTTGCAGAAGGACAGCAGTCATGCTGAGGCCCCAAGCTCATTATCGGTGCTGAGATACGAAGCCCCTTGCATGCCTTAGTGTGATTAGGGTTTACGGTTATCTTTCCACTATTATTATTACCAGGGTATTCTTCTCCACCGATCATCGTATTACTGACACCGATATCATAATAGAGTGAGAAAACGTTTGGGTGCAGTAGTTCTTTATCTGTTATCAGTCTTGTTATTGAATAAGCGATCTCAACTGCCGTTGCAGAAACGCGCAATGGGAACGTGTATAAAGGCCCGGTCAAACACACGTAACATTTCGACGCAGAGTATTGCAGCTTTGGTGTGCACAACATGTTTCTTACGTTTGGCCACCCAGTTGCATCGTGTTGCAATATTTTGGATGAAGCCAAATGTGTGGAGCTTGTTGTGCGCAACAATGTTGCAATTTGAAATTAGCGTGCAAGTAGTATCCATTCCAATCACTAGTAGTATCGAAAACTTAATAAGGAACTTTTCCATACGTCAAATTGACGAATTACGACAATTTGCTACTACCCATGTACTTGGTGGTTGAATGACTTTTCTTTTTCCTTTCCTTTTGTTTGTTCTCTCTAGGATGCCTTGTTTTTCTTGAGGAATTTCTTTTCGGAGATCATGGGCGAAGCTGCTAAAAACCCCAAAGGTACACCAGCCCAGGCTTATTGTATATGCAACTGCCTGCAGACCGAGTCAAATTCCGCGGGAAATACAATGTCGAATATATGGTACATGGTTCATGGAAAATGCAGCTGCCCTCAGCTTTAGACTTCTTTGAAAATGATAAATCACATCCTTCGCCAGTATTTTGCTTCTATTTAAAGACTTTTAATGTAGCAGAAGACTAACTTTGCTGAAATTGTCATTCAGGCGCTGTATTTTGCGCGATGTTTTGCTTTACTCTGAGAATGGTCACCACGCCCGTTTATTATATTTTGACCCTAAAAAAAGAAGTGATTTGTTTTACTGTTTTCGTGTTATTTTGTTTCTTAGGATCAAGCTCAGTGGATTCCAGTCCCGTTAAACCGCCGCCAGCTTCTGATTGGTTAACAGAGTTATCTGACGCTGAGGAGACCCTGGTGAACTCGGCCAGTGAGTCCGAGGCAGATACTCCTCAACCAGCGCCCACGTTTTTCAGGTCCTTTATATTCTCTCCCGAGGTTCCCATTAGGCTGGACTATCATGGCAAGAGAGTCGACATGGAACAGGTAAAATAGTGCGTTGTCTGCAGCTCAACATTCAGAGAGAGCGACAGGTACACTGAAGTAGCGCGTCCGTATACCAGCGCTCATTAGTTATAGCTGCAAGTCTATAGCTGTTTATGCCTTCTAGAATGTTTTTACAAGTTGTTGAAGTTTTTCGCTGGTTTCCATTTCCTGGATGGGGATAGTAATAGCAGATTTAAGAATGCAGTATGATTGCCCTAACCAAGGCTTAGGCCCGAACCTCGGGATTCTTTGACTAATGCTGTTACCATTAATAAAAATAGGTACCCATAGGGTACATGTGTGGGACACCTCATTTGCATTAACGGACACAAGCCGATGACAATAGCGTGGCATACCTCAGATATCCCACACAATAATAAAAAAAATATCTTTATAACACCGGTATATATCTATATTCAATTGGCGCCAACCAGAGGATGTACAGTTGGATCGCGCTAATTAAAACTCGGTCATTTCGAATTCTCTGTTATTACGAACCATTTCCCTTGTATTTGCCCTTCAGTCAGTTACTATCGGTTCAACTGTATGATCGTTTCTTTTCCTGTTGATGAGGAATCCCTTTGCTCTAGGGAACCCTTGCTGGTCTACTAATCGGTCTTGCCCAGCTCAACTGCTCCGAACTTCGTCTAAAGCGTCTGTGCTGTCGTAGCGGCTTACTTGGAATAGACAGGGTCATAAGCTACGCTCTGTCCGAATGGCTGGCGGACATCAGAGGCACACAGCTGTCCAGGATACTAGGAGGGGTCGGACCCGTGCACTCGTTTCTACAGTTGTTCCAGGGACTCGTGGACCTAGTGTGGCTGCCTATAGACCAGTATCGGCGGGATGGGCGTGTCATGAGGGGGCTCCAGAGGGGTGCCAACTCATTCACCACTTCATCGGCCATGGCCTTCCTTGAACTCACCAACAGAGTTGTGCAGTTGATACAGGTAAGAGGTAATGTTCGTGTTATCTGACAGGAACAATCTGTATGACCTTATCATTTACTCGTGTCTTTATTATCGTAATAGTTAACTGTGTAGTTTGCTTATCCAATTTTTGTAGTTGTAGGAAATGTCCTAGCTAACTGCTGATATGCACCACTGCCAGATTAGTTCTTCAGTGGCATTATTGTAATTAAAGGATTAACGATCGCTGGACTACTTAGAAATTGTTACCTTATGCGTATTTTAAGCGTTCCTTGCGATATGTTGGGACTCAAGTGGTACCATAAAATTCCTATAATCGTAAAAAAGGCCCACTGTACTTTCCATTTGGCCGTAAAATCTCAACTTTCGAAACGGTGGAAATGTTTCTGACGGGCGAGCCATCCGACCGAAAATTCCGAAAATTCAACGAGAAAAATCGGATCGAAGGAAAATTCCCGGCATGAAATTTTTGAAAGTTTGGGTATACTTCGCGAGGTATTCTTTGTGTTCACAAGTTCCGAAAAATGTTGTTTTATTCACCTCTGAAAATTTCGAGCAATCCAAACCAAACGTTTTGGTCGAATGGAAAACGCCTTCGACATCCTCGACGATCCACACGTTGTGAAATGACTGGTCACGTGGGTTGTGCATCCGCATGATATCTCCATTGCATGCCTTAGCTTCAGTTATGTGACAGAATTCCTAACGAACATAGTGCGCACTGCAAGTAGCGACTGTGCGAACGTTAGACAGTTTTGGGACCCCCTAACTCTGGCAATTCCTAAAGGTAACGATACCCTTTGGAAGTAACCAATGACACGATAGCTAGACTTTTGGTAGTTAACGATTTGGTAGTTAGCGATAAGATGTCATTGTGCTTCCAGTATAAATAAGACTGCTAAAAGACGAAATAACTACCTCATTACTTTACGAATTGTACGATAAGGATTTTGTAAACATTGTGGATACTGTATTGCGCTAATTTGTCGATGCGAGTCTCCCAGGAACGAAGATTGTGGTGAAAAGGGCCTATTAGTTAATGGTGCATGGTAAATGTCTTCGTTAATAACTTTTTTGTCCTCGTTTGCTGTGTAGTGAGTATCTGACTAACTTGACTCTCATGTTTTGACTGTAGGCTGCGGCAGAAACAGCCTATGATGTAGTGAGTCCAGACTCCCCAGTCAAACGCGGTCAGAATCGCTTGGCACAGCAGCCGTTTGACTTGCGTGAAGGTGTTTCTAATGCGTACCAAGTCTTTAGAGAGGTCAGACAAGCTTGTTTTGCTTTCTTTGGTATTTTCTTCCTCAGCTAGCCTTTTTTTAACTGTTTGTCTGCTTGTTTCTTTGTTTGCTTTTTCTCCTTTTCTTTTTTTCTCTTATTTTCTCTTGAGAGGAGGGCAACCAAAAAAAAAGGATAGATATTGAGAGCCACCTTGCTTGTTTGCTTCACTGGAATTGAAGAAATCTTAAAACGAACTAGAAATCTCGAATTTTGATTCCTGAAAAGAATCGCAAACTGTAGAAATATGTTTTGTAAATGGCCCTTGTTCGACTTGGAGCTCTAAAATTAAATACCTACCTCCTCGCCCCAGTTATTCAGAGTCCAAAACATTATCCAGTTGATTAAGGTCATTCCACTGAAATTGAACCTGCACTGAGATTTTTGTGAAACTTTGCCTATTGATTTTTTATATTATAGGAACTTAAATTTTGAAATAAAAATGAGGGGTCCCCATGTTCGTTTAGGAGCAACAGCACCCTGTTTACACCCGTATAAATCCTTGTAATAGCATTATGATTGTAGTCACGATTGCTTGCTAAATTCACGTTTCCGACGATTGCTTTTTGTTCAACATTGAGAATTGGTCCACATTTATTTTACACAGAGAAATTTATTACTCAATTCAAAACAACAGAAAAAAAAANACTGTAGAAATATGTTTTGTAAATGGCCCTTGTTCGACTTGGAGCTCTAAAATTAAATACCTACCTCCTCGCCCCAGTTATTCAGAGTCCAAAACATTATCCAGTTGATTAAGGTCATTCTACTGAAACTGAATCTGCACTGAGATTTTTGTGAAACTTTGCCTATTGATTGTTTATATTATAGGAACTTCAATTTTGAAATAAAAATGAGGGGTCCCCATGTTCCTTTAGGGGCAACAGCACCCTGTTTACACCCATATAAATCCTTGTAATAGCATTATGATTGTAGTCCTGATTGCTTGCTAAATTCACGTTTCCGACGATTGCTTTTTGTTCAACACTGAGAATTGGTCCACATTTATTTTACACAGAGAAATTTATTACTCAATTTAAAACGACAAAAAAAATGATAGGTCACCATACTCGTTTGCGAGAAAATGACGATTTACCTCTATGGCGAGGTCCAGCTGTAAAGAAAAAGCCATCATTTTTTTAATGCGCGCGCGCTAATCACGCGTGAAATTATGCGCAGTAGGGATGCGCAATGCAATACTGGGGAATGACCTTAAGTCCTATACATATACAACTAATAAAATACATCAACTGTGTAACCAGCAGCCAAGCTACCAACCTACTCTTTTCACGTTTATTTTTCAGGGACTGGGTCAAACAGCTACAAACATTGTTCAAGTCGCTAAAGATGAACACGAACAGAAGGGCGTGACAGGGGCTGTGGGAGGTGTCCTGCGTCAGGTCCCCGCCACCGTGGTCCAGCCCCTTATCCTGGCTACAGAGGCTACGTCCAATGTCCTGGGAGGGGTCCGTAATCAAATCTTACCCGATGCGCGGCGAGAGGCCGCGGACAAGTGGCGATCTAATCCTTGATGGGGTCAAAAGATTGTCAATACTACAGACGAATGAACAGGCGTCGTTTTATGGAAAGTCGTCGTAAAGTAAAGGGAATTGATGCACTATAGTTATAAATTAAAGTAGCGTGAGTTAGCTTGGTGCGTATTGAAAGATACATGACGTTGCGCAGCAACAGCTTGTGACGCTACACAATAATCATCTCCTTGACAACCATGGTTACTACTTGAAAGTGGGTTTTGTAGTGTATATACTACTGCGTCTTTTAATGACACGCGAACTCTGAAGTTCAAAACCTTACTAAAAGTTACGTTTTTGGCCGCCGCCAATCATTAGTGGGCTTAAGCATACCACGACGACCACGCCAACGAGAACGTCACCAAACAAAAGGTTTAATAAGAACAATGGCTTCTCACTTGCGTTAAAAGTCTGTACATGTTTTAGCCGTCCTCTGCAAAACAAGAATATAAAATGACCAAGTTCTGCGAAGTCTGAGGAACGCGAACGACGACGGTCGCTGTCATTGCATATTTAGGAGTAGGCGCACTAAATAGATCTAGACAATTGCGCAATTCGAAAGTATAATAGAAATTCATTTCTGTCTAGGCGTCGTCCTCGGCGTCGTCGTTGCCGTCGTAGCCGTCGTCGTCGTCGTTGCTTAAGCTCTCCATTATTACGACGACAACCAACGAAAATGGGTCGAAATCTACCAATCACATCCCACTGGCGTGAAATTTTAACCCGTAGAAGTAAACTTCTGTTCCCTGAGAGGCCCGATGAGATGGTCAATGGTAGAGAAACACGGAATCGTTGATTAAACAGAATGCACGTGTTATTGAAAGGCGCGGTGAAACGCCTAGTCTGTTTATATCGGGACGCCCACGGTTGACATACGTTTAAGATAGTAGTCTTCTAGATATGTAGTATTTCAGATTGAAATTAACTTAGAAAATCGTTTTTAGACGTTTTCAATCCCGCCAATACCTTGCTAAATTGAAATTCTCTGAAATTTGCACTTCCCAAGCTTGGTTCTGCGCAAAAGTACCGGCCAGTGATCACCGCGTTGTAATAATTGTTTATAATTTAACCAGTCTGTGATGCTTACATGAGGTCATAGTGACACGTGTTCTGCTTAGCAGCTTTTCCATCTGAACCTGGGGCACATTCTGATTCGTCAATCCTCAGCTTGAATCTACACAGCCTCTCTTTTTGCTCTAAAATCCACGGAAGAATGTAAAAACCGAACGAACGAGCACGATTTCCAAGAGCAGCGAGTAGTTGGTGCCCGTTCACTGATATTTATCATTGTTTTTTTTGGCGTTCTCTCCCCTCCCACCGGCCCCGCGCGCAGATGTTAGAGCAAAAGGCGAGACTGCTGGCAGTCTATTTAAATCAGGCAAATGGCCATTTTGAAATTGCTTTATAGGCGCATGTATTAGTGCATTTCTGTATCAGACTTTGCCATTTTGTAGCTAGTATAGAAAGTGAAGCCGGCAAACAGAAAAACCGGCAAATAGGGTGTTCACAGTGTACGTAGAGGCTTCGCTGGTGAATTATTTATTTCTCTTTTTCCAGCTTTTATTAGATCAAGATGTAGCAATACAAATATAATGTAGAAGTAAGTCCATGTGGCCGCCGAAGCTTCCGTGTAAAGAAATTGTACAGAATTTTTTTTTTTTTAATCGTGAGAATATTTTTAATGTGTACATTAAGAAAGACCGCGTAAAGGGAGAGAGAAAGAATGTTTTATCGTCAGTGCGGTGGAAGAAAAGCTGTTAAAGGGTATATTATGTCGCGTACTTCCTCTGCAGCTGGCGTGGAAGAAATCCTGATTTTGTCGTTGAGAATTTAATAAATTTTTCAATTTCTAGTTTCTTTGTATTCGTGTTGCAGCGTTTGCCTTTCGGTCGTAAGATTAAAACGTTAATTCTTCTTACTCATAGTCATACAGTTCTTTCAATTTTAGTTTTGTGAATGTCGTTGTGCATCAAGACAATATCTTTAAGTTGATGATTTTATGTATTCTCGCCACCGTCCTGCTTGATAATGTGTTGGTATTGTAACGAGAAATTGAATTTTCATCACTCCTGGGTATTAAAGGGTTTACCCTAGGTTGTTTACCATTTACACGCAGAACCTGGTTCGTCAACTGTTTGTACAAATGGTAAGCAAAGATCCATTTTAGTAAATTCCGTTCAGATTGTCCATTTACCATTTAGTCAAAAACGTTCAATTTTTCGAAGGAGAATAGGGCGAGTTCGACCTGATCATAATTCCAAGATGGTGATGAGGTTAGCAAAGTGACGTCAGTTTTTCATGTGTCTGTCCTCTTATTGATGATAAATTGCGGCATAACATTGTCAAAGTGGCTATGGAACCACGAGCCGCGGGCGAGTAGTTCCGCAGTAAACTTTGACAATGTTATGAAGAAATTTATCATCAGTAAGAGGACAGACGCATAAAAAACTGATGTCAATTTGTTTTTTACAATAACAGAACCCCAAGCTGGTCAAATGCCGGGAATAAATGAGGGGAAAAGACGCGTAAACTTGCCGTAAACAGATATAGGTGAATTTTATTCAAAATGACGCGAACATTGTCAATAGCTTTTCTCGCTTTTTGATTGGCTACTTAAAAAAAGTCCATAGAATCTCATTGGTTAAAAAGTTGACAGTTTGACAGCTTAAATTTGAACTTGAAAGCTTGCATAAATTAAAATTTTATCCGTCTGTACTCTTATTGATGATAAAAATGAGCCAATCAGCGCGCGAGAAATTAGACAGTTATTGTAAAAAATATATTGCAAATGGTAGACACATTTCCATTCGCATTTTTCGGTTGGAAATCCTGGGCTACCTTTCAAGACGTTCCGTTTATTTCGAAAACTTTCCGGTCGGCCGCGCCAAAATTGTACGTCTTGCCACTTACATTCTGAACGAAATATCCGACATTTTTGGGTAAATGGTATACAAACCCCTGTTGCTGTCCTGTTTGCACAGTGAATGCGGGATTTTACAAATTGAATCAGTCCATGTTTACACGATGTAGCCTTTTTCCAGTGCTATTTTAAAATGAAAAGTGGTGCCGTCATGATCGTATTCCAATCACAGCGCACGTTACATGATTAAAATAATTATGTTACAACAGCGTCCGCCTGTGGCTTTCAAAGACTAATTGACCGGACAATATGGCAAGGTCGAAGTTTGAAATTTGTCCGTAAAGACCGAACGTTCGTGGTTAATAAGATGTTTATTATATGGCAGTTTGCTCTGTCTTTGCAGGCCCGTAATCGGGCCGTGGGCATTACGGGAGAATAATGCCCTACAGTTACTCAATCAGAGCGCGCTTTAGATTGGCTACAAACACAAGCCATATAATAATTTTGGATAATAAACTAAATAGTCTCCATTTGACTTTAAAAATATGCTCGGATATTTGTCCTTGGACATAATATGTTCCTCGAAGCTCGCATTTTTCCTCAAGCCTCGCCCTCGGAAAATTGTTCGTTTCTCGGAACAGATAATGTCCAAGGACAAACATCCGAGCTTATAATCCATTAAATATTTTCGCTCTCGCGCGATTGGTTTAAACGCGTCACGTGCCTGAAAACTGGGGAATATCACCCGGATATTTCCCAATTTTAAAAACCGCGCGAAAAACATTTAAAGGATAATAAAGCCAATGGTATTCGTCCTTGAATATTATCTGTTCCTCAAAGTTCACAGTTTTCCTGGAGCTCCGCTCTCGGAAAACTGTTCGCTTCTCGGAACAGATAACATCCGCGGACAAATATTCGAGCAACCGAGGCTATTGTTTACTTTCGCGCCAAATGGAGGTGTTGAGGCTGTCAATGAAAAAGAAATCTGGGTACGAGCAAAATCCTCGCCCCAGATCTAATCGGCTAGCCGACGAGTTAGGACAATATGGCGGCCATACCTGGGTTTTTGCATTTTTACAGCTCGAAAGACTATTGTACCATCAGTTTAGTGCAGATCTTGGCAGCTTGGACGGCTGTCGCTGTTTCAAATTATGCTTCGCCATCCACGTCATTGATAACAAGCACAGCAGTGTCACTGAGGCTGTTTTGTATGGTGTTCTCTGTGTTATGTTTCACTCTCATTCGGATGAAATCGCGGATAAAATTGACGGTATGTTACAATTCATCCTTTTTCCGATTAGTTATTACAGTTTAATGGCATTATTTAAAGATGGTATGAAAAAAATGTTCGTAAATGATGAGGTACGTAAGAAAAAGAAAAACAAGGAAAATTATAATGCTCAAGCATGTACCAAATTTGGCCACATTAGCTAATATTAATAATTTGATAAGGATAATCTATTAACCAACCAAATATATTAAAATGGCTTCTTGTAACTAAATAATAAAAATATCATTATTGAGGGGAATTTAACACAGTGATACATGCATAGTTTTATTTCATTTGAATGGTTTATATTAAATCATTAACTGTTATTATTATATGGCTTTGTCTCACAAGGACTGGGAACTACCGAATTCACGAATTTGATTGTCTGCGGTCTAGATTTTCCCATTTAGACTAGCATCTCGACCGATCACATTTTGCCATGAAAAAGTTGCAAACTAAATACAAAAATATTGACTATTTTCTTCCAAAATATTAGTTCCAGAAAATATTCATATTATGGAAGTGCGAAGCCTGATGAGGAAAAAAGTAAAGAGGACGAGTTTGGCAGAATTAAGTTCAGCTCATCGTCGTTCGCAAGCAAAATGTCAGCTAGTACAAACCAGTTACATTAAACGAATTAATTTTTTCTTGTTTGCCATATAATAAACATCTTATTAACCGAGCTTAGTCGATCTGTATGTGAGAATCTTYACCTCAGTCGTGTGTACAGACCTCACTGCATTCGGTCTGTACTCTCAAACTCGGTCAAGATTCTCCCATACAGACCTTCTGCTCGGRTAATAAGAGCTAATTAATTTTGGTACCCCGCTGATACAATACTAGAAATGTGCATCTTATTTTTCACAGATATGGCARGTTGTCAAACTGATCATATTGGTATTTGGATCAGCAGCAGTATTCCATCTTATTGCTATATTGTTTGGAGCTTCAATCTTGGAGTAAGTCTCTGTTTAAATAATGTTATGAAATCTATGTGAAATATCAAGGGTATATACTCTTAAAGGCCTGGGCATCAGGCAGATATTACCTTATCATCTAGTCTTGCCCCACTTTCTCAAACAATCAGAAGTCAAACCAAAACCAGTCTTGACTTGCTTGCACACATTTTCCCGTGCTTCTAGTCAGCCACATGTATTTTACTTTGAGTTTTGATGGGTTCAAGTCCTGTATTGCCTGTCCTTTGTGACTGGCAAGAGTGACTTTGGTTTTGGTTTTATAACACCCAATTGAAAACCATTCTGACTATAAGTAGTAATAAAATACCAGTTGCCAACCCCTGATACTGACTGTAATGTCCTAAATATATATATTTTTTATATATTTTCGTTTCTAATGTTGTGTCACAAGGGTATATAAAGCTTGAACTGTATCGGGTATATATCATGAAGATGCAGCACTTGAGTGTTTACTAATTGCATGTTAATAGTTAACTGAGTGTCGAAGGCAAAATCGTCATGTTTGATTCAAGATCAGAGTCAAAGCAGTCTCTATTATTTTTATATAATTTGAGCAATTCTGGGAGTACAAAAATAGAAAATCAACATACAATTTACCAATCCTCACTGATGTGCTAAATTTCATTTTTTTTTTTTTAACAGACAGAGTGAAGAGACGTTCTGTTGGGCCTTACTGATGTCTCTTCTGGTTGTCCTTCCTGCCTGTAGTTTGCTAGGAGCACAGATGGAACTCGTACCAAGGATATTTTTCAGTGCCTGGTCAGTACACCATAATGCCTTTATATACATTGTACATGTATCTTCACAAGGTTTAGAACATGTGAAATTGCACACAATTTGCTGGTAAATTTTTTCTTCGAAAGAAAGTTTTTCTAGCAAAACTAACAAAAAATGAATAAAATGACAAAACTAGCAAAAAATGAAAAGCTTTTTGGGCAACATTTCTATTTAATATTATCAATACATGTAATTTATCACATGTAATATTTAACAGATGTCTGTCTGTGAAAGTTATGGTGTCTCCATGTCCTGGTCACCATTAGGGGATATTTACTTTTGAAAACTTGTATGATGCAAGTTATACACCAATTTCCACTGACAATGTGATCTCATACCACATTTACATTTGCGATGTGACTCACACAATCCCATCTTGAATGAGAATTTGAAAACTCTGCATGTACCACCCATTCTAGTCAAGTAGGAGACTGATTTTACACTGAAAGGAGTAGTTATTCTTGCTTTGCATGATAGTGACTCAAAACTTCATACTTGGTGAGTGACTGGGGTGAGCTCCAACTGTTTTGTTCTTGTGAGAGTGACATTTGTGATGATACATGTAAGATATTTTGTGGACAAATGGAGGTTGTGCGGCAATATTTAGAAACTATGAATGTCTCTCACAAAATGGCTTCAGGCAAGTTGGGTCGACTTTCATTTGACTGCGCCGGTCATGACAACCTGTGTCGGGATGAGAAGATCACCCTCTACAATATTCTCTATGAAGTTGTCAGATGGAGTTGCTGGAGTCTCTCGCAAAATAACTTCCAGTGTGTCTGGTCGCTCACCACGGTGACCTTAGTCTATCCGAATTATTTTGTGTGTATTGGACAACCCTCCTAGACTGAGAACCACAAGATGGAACCAAGATGAATTTGATCTACCATGAAAGTCTTGTTTGTATGATGTAAACTCCCTTCTCAGGCACCTTGTGAAGAGAACCAATTGAGGCATTTCCACATGTAGAAGGATGTACCACAGGACCTTGTGTGAACTTTTTCTTTAGTTTTAATTCACTTTGTATGAACTTGATTTGAAATAAATAAATAATCTTTGATGAGGAGGCCTACATCACAAAGTGGTTTACAGAAGGGTCCTCTATCAAGGTTAAACAAAAACAAATCTAGGAAAAATGAGCTGCATTTTATAAAAATAATATATAACAATACAGAACTAAGAATATAAACGTTTCAAAACAACTTATCAAAGTGATTGTTTTGACAGGTCCGATGCCACACCTGAAGCATATTTCCAGTGTTCCATCGTATTTACACTGATAGGAGCATGGCTGGGTGCTTTTCCAATTCCCTTGGACTGGGACAGGCCCTGGCAGGTGAGGCAAGGGGGGGACTGTATTCATTCTCATACATATCATAACGATATAGATGTTCTTCAAGCTCATAGCCGGAGGGGGGTTGGGGTGGGGGGNGTGGGTGGTGTTCACCATGAGACATGCATAAGCAGCACCATGCAGTTGCCTAATGTCCTTAAAGTAAATGTAGTACCTTGGTACCTGGAAAGTTTCCTGACAAATGCTGCAAATTTACAAGATCTTACTGCATCTCTTTTTGTTGCTTATGCTTGAGTTTTTGCACTAGTGAAACCAGCCTATAAATGGCAAGTGAATTATTCTGGTGTGAAAGATAAATGATAACTGTAGTTGCTTGTGGCCCCCCTGTCCAGTGGACATCCAGGATATTCTGAATATTGTGAAAGATCATGTTAAGACTTCCAGGCGTAGGAAATAACATGAACATGCCACAAGTACAACCAGTAGCTACAAACTTAAAGCTAAGAAACTTGAGAAACCAGCTGCATAAGCTGCAGTCACACCACTCTGTCACTTTTGGCTATGCACATCAACAAACTATGTAAATTAGCCAGGGTAAAAACCGGTTATACATCGTCCGTGACAAGACTTGCTTGTAATGGATACTTAAAGGATCAAAGTGCTCTATGATTTAACCCGTGAATTTCCCAGTGAATGGTGACTGATGTGAGCTAACCTTTGTGAAATGTTCATAACAAAATAAGTCTGCATTGCGGACATGTGTGGCTTGCTGGTTATTCTTATTACACAAGTTACTTTATTGACTTCTGGCTATACTTGTTAGTACAGCAGCCTTTAAAACCAAGTGTTCACTTCTTTAGTACCTCAATGTCGATTGATTTTTTGTGCATACTACATGCAGTACGGTCTCGGTAGCTTCCTTGGGCAATATACGGGTTAAAAATATGAAGACTCACCGAACTAAGTATTTGTGAATGAGTTATGGATTTCTTGATTTCTTTTAGGTTTGGCCCATTCCGTGTGCGATTGGAGCCATAGTGGGTTATATTGTCGGGCTTGGGGTTTCAACAGTGACGTATACTATGAATGAAGATAGATTCCGACCGCGATAAAACCAAAGCTCATCTGGTTCCAATGTTTGATCTGCATTACGATAGTGCCGCTCCACTGAGCCAGCGGAGTTGAAGACAGGAGCGTGCAGTGGAAAAATCAAAGCAGCTCACTTCCTACTGAAATGCGACTTTGTTATCGAGTTCATTTGTCATGTGGGTCTCGGTTACGAGTTTGGCAATGCGCTGTGAGCTCTGTTGAGTTTAGCCCACATCTTTCATGAATTGATGGAGAGACTTTGCTCGAGTTTTTCCTTGGGTGAATGCTTAAGGTCGGCACACACTTAGGGACATGTTGCTAGGACGTGAAGCGGACACAAGCCCCTGCCGCCGTGTGTACGCATTGGACGGTACCCAACTTGGTGCACACGAAGATGGGGATGTCGGCTCATTTCTGTTGTATCGGGTACGGTTTGCCAAAGTAGTCCACACGTTTTGAGATTGAAAATTGAGGTCTGCTCCATGACACACGAATTCAAACCAGCTGATTATGTACAACCGTCTGAACTTTTCCGTTAACCTGCGATCAGGCCTTCTTTCTTTTTCCCTTCCCCGTTCGCCGGAAGACGGGCTTGTCACACGAGGAAAACTGTCGTCGCAGCATGTCCCCGCTTCGTGTCGTCTAGTGTTTGCCGATCGTAACAAATTTAGTGAGAAAATATTGTTACAGTATCTGGAAACAAATTAACTAGAAATAAAAGGGTTTTTATGATTTAACGTGAATTGTATGGTCAGAGTATTCAGTGGCAGCTGCACGTGAAAGGTTTTGAGGACATCGTTAGAGAGGTGTAGACTTTTCAAAGAGAAAGAAGCAGCATGTGGGCAGTTTATGGGGTTTGAGTGGATAAAACGTATTTAAGTAGAGG